GTGGGTCCCTGGCCTCAGGAGCTGTGCCCTCTGGGAAGGCAGTTAGGCCTCTGAACCCCAAGGAGCTCACATGCTCACGGGGCGGCTGCTGGCGGCCCCGGCAGGACGAGGTGGGGAGAGCCCTGGCGGGTCCTCGGGGAAAGCCATGGGCCTGGGGACGCTGCCCAGAGCAGGGCACCGGAGCTGCGGCGGCCGGTGCCGCAGCTGGTGTTGCTTTGGCAGTGACGGACGCTGGGATGAAACAGACACTCCTGTCTCTGGGACACCTGGGCCCAGGTCCAGGGGGGCCGTCATGGCTCAGGGGCTGCCTGGGCCCCCAGGCCGGCCTGTCCGCACCCCACTCTGCAGGAGCCTCTATGGCCTCCCGGCTGCACCTGCGGCCGCTGATCAGGGAGGAGCTTCTAACTGTGCCGCTGACAGTTTCCCACCACAGCTTCCTGCCCAGAGACAGGATCACTCCCCCCTCCCGCCCGCGCCCCCCTCACTGTCCCGGACAGCCCCGCCCTCCTCACCTGCAGCCCCGACCTACTCACCGACAGCCCCGCCCTCCTCACCGACAGCCCCGCCCTCCTCACCGACAGCCCCGCCCTCCTCACCCCCACCCTCCTCACCCCCACCCTCCTCACCCCCACCCTCCTCACCTACAGCCCCACCCTCCTCACCGACAGCCCCACCCTCCTCACCACAGCCCCACCCTCCTCACCTACAGCCCCGCCCTCCTCACCGACAGCCCCCACCCTCCTCACCGACAGCCCCCACCCTCCTCACCTACAGCCCCTCCCTCCTCACCGACAGCCCCACCCTCCTCACCCCCACCCTCCTCACCCACAGCCCCGCTCTCCTCACCTACAGCCCCACCCTCCTTACCGACAGCCCCACCCTCCTCACCGACAGCCCCACCCTCCTCACCTCTAGCCCCACCCTCCTCACCTACAGCCCCTCCCTCCTCACAGACAGCCCCACCTGCTGCCTGGCCATGTGTCCTGGGCTCTGTGGGAGTCTGAGAGGCGGCTGGCTGGGCGGGAAGTGGAGAGGAGGGGAGGAGGCCCACAGCGGGCCGGCCCAGGGAGAAGCATGGGGAAGGCTCCCAGCGCCGGCCGCTGGGGCAGAGCGTGGCTGAGAGCCCCGTTAGTTAGAGCCAGTGGAGGAGGCAGGAGGGAGCACCGCGCTTCCTAAGGGGAGGCCTGGGGCAGGCATCGCCTAAGAGCAACTTGTTCCGTTCGTGTGGGAAACAGACGCTGCGGTTCAGCCAGCCACAGGCACCACGTGAGTGAGATGTGGGTCTCAGCTTTTTTAACAGAAACAGCAGGTAGAGACCAAAGGAGGTGCTGGCAGCACCACCAGCTCAGCAGAGCGAGCTGGCCTGGCCGGTGTGTGTGGCCGCGTGGTTAGCCACAGACGAGGCGGCCCAAATAAGGACCGGCTGCGGAGGGGAGAAAGGAGGAGCCATCAGAGAGGGGGCGGTGAGAGAGGCGCCGAGAGCCCAAGGAGCCATGCCTCGCCTGGCGCCCTCTGGTGGTGACGCAGTGCTCCGGAGCCTGGAGCTCAGCTTCTGGGGTCAGGGGAGAGGCCCTGCGGCTGGGGGAGAGGATCGGAGTCAAGAAGGGGAGCCCCTTGCTCCCTATTCCAGTTGTTTTTAGCTCTTCTATCCCCTTTTAATTTAAAAGATCATTATCAGTTAGATACAGTGATGCACTCACTCTAGTGAAATGGCTATCAATGGCTATAGAAGAGCTGGCGTATTTGTGATTACAAAAACACCACCAAACTTCTAAATAAAGACCCAAAACTCTTCTAGTATTAAGCATTGACCCTCTTCTATCCCCTTTTAATTTAAAAGATCATTATCAGTTAGATACAGTGATGCACTCACTCTAGTGAGAAACTGTGGATCTGACAAGTGCGTAGACCTGAGAAACTACCATCTCAACCGAGAAATCGCCTCGTGCCCGTTTCTAGTCAGTCCTGCCTCGGCCCCTGGCCCAGCCTCTGGCAGCCTCGGATGCATCTCCAACGACCCAGCTTTGAGTGGAATCTCACAGCTGCAGTTTGGGGCCTGGCTCACCCCTGGTGCTGGGTGTACCAGCATCCCGTTCCGTTGGGGTGCTGAGTGGTACCCCGTGTAGAGACGCCCCACTGTTTATCTGCTCACTTGCCAAGAGCACTCACGTGGCTCTGGTTTAGGCGATTCTGAGCAGGGGGCGCTCAGGTCCTGCGCAGGTGTGAGTGCACGTTCCCATTTCCCCGGGAGCCGTCCTGGCTCAGCTAACCCTCCGGTGGAATGGTGACCGTGTCTGCAGGCCTGGTCCATCGTCCATCTGCAGGCCTGGTCCAGGCCCTCCGGATCTGGGGTCAGAACAGCCTGGTCAGAAAGTCAGTTCTGGCCCCTCTCCAGCCGTCCTGACCCAGGTTTCTCCCAAATGACTCCCATCAGAAGGGCAGATCCCCAAATAACGTGGTTTTTCGTTCAATGTTGTTTTGTTATAATATTGAAAAAATATGTAGAAAAAATGTTTGATTCTCAGCCCAGCTGTCTGTACGGGTTTTCCCCAGAGATCCCCGTTTCCTCCCACATCCCAGAGGAGCACGTGGGAGGACCAGCCTGTCCTGGTCTGAGTGAGTGTGTGTGCGTGGCCTGGGATGGCAGGGCGGGTGAGCTGCCATGTGGGCGCTGAGTCCCAGGACCCTGACCTGGCATCAGCAGGCTGGGAAAGAGCTCGCACACTCGGTTTTACTCACCTCTCTGAACTGTATGCCTGGCTCCCATTTATTTCAATGTTATTGGTTTTTTAACTTTTATTTATTGATTTGAGAGAGAGAGATGCATTAATAGTTGTGTCTTGTATGTGCCTTGACTGGGAGTTGAGCCCACAGCCTTGGTGAATCGGGGTGATACTCTGACCCAGTGGTCGGCAAACTCATTAGGCAACAGAGCCAAATATCAACAGTACAACGATTGAAATTTCTTTTGAGAGACAAAAACCGACTTCTGCGCATGGGCCACGGAGTTTCAGTTGCACTGTACATGCGTGCCCGCACGTGGTATTTTGTGGAAGAGCCACACTCAAGGGGCTAAAAAGCCACATGTGGTTCCTGAGCTGCAGTTTGCTGACCACTGCTCTAACCAACGGACCTACCTGGCCAGGGTCAATGCTTAATACTAGAAGAGTTTTGGGTCTTTATTTAGAAGTTTGGTGGTGTTTTTGTAATCACAAATACGCCATATGAGCTCCTGTTGATAGCCATTAACCCATGGTAAAACCGGGTCCACACACATCATTTCACTTAAAGTGCAGTTTCCAAGCAGCTGTCGGTGCCGTTGAGTGAGGACTGGCCGATCTTCCTCTCGGACCCAGAGCCCGCCTTCCCGTGTCCCTGGGCCCAGGGAGCGGCCTTTCTCAGTCCACAGGGTTTTCTTTGCGCCTGCGGACATTTGCTCACGAGAAAGGCCCCCAGGCCCTGCTCTGAGCACAGCCTGTGCCGGTGGCCTTGCTGGGCACCTGAGTGAGAAACGAGCAGACATGTGGTGGGAGGTCACTTGTCAACATTATCAGCGCGTTCCCACTGGCCGGGAGCAGGTAGCTCTGCCGGAAGCCAGTGTCCTTCCCACCACTCGGGGCCTCGTTTTTGTGCTGCTGGCGGGTGATTTTGCTGTTTAATGGCCCCCACAGGCTGTCCAGTGTTCCCAGTGCGGGACGGCGGGGAGGCTCCTGAGGGAAAAGAGAGGGTTAGGTGAGCTTCAGTGCTGTTGGCTGAGCGTTCAGTGTTAATGAAGCAACAATAGGAGGCATCTTGCAAGGGTATGTCCTGTTCGGTTCGTGGAAACGTGACCAGAGGCTGGAAGGAGCCTGCCCTGTGTGTCCTCGGCAGCAGCGGCTCAGTCCCTGCTGATCTATCTGCCGGACTGCAGAGCTGCTGTGACTGACAGGCTGTGCCCACCACCCGCCCTCCCTCAGCGTGCCGTTGTCTGGACGGCCTTTACGTAAACGGCGGTCATCGGTACCCACCTACACATTTCTGCACACAGATCACTAACTAGGGTTTAATATTCTATGGCTCTTCGTTCTTGAGGGGTCCAAATACAATGAAGTGAACAAATCTTAAGCGTACATTCTCAGAGTTTTAAGGAATTCAGAATCCCGTGGAATCCAGAGTCCAGCATCGTCACCCCAGAGAGCTGACGGTATATCATTTTAGGTTATTTGCCAAACCAGGTTCCTATTTACCTAAATAGCCTTCATTCCTTCTCCCCATATACGACCATACTTCCCCCCAACAGGTGGAGTTAAACCCTGCTGTGTTGAACCGACCCCTGGCTGCTGGGTGTTCAGGTTAATGTGTGCGTTCTAGAAACTTGTCCGGGAAGGCAGGGGGCAGAGCCCAGGAGGGATGCCTGGTGCTTCGGGGAGTGGGGAGACGGGGAGGAGGGCTCAGTAAGGTTCCTCTGACGAGCAGACCCTCTGGGCTTCAGGGCCTCTGCACGGCTGTTCGCCCTGCGCCTGCTCTCCTCCCGCCTCAGGGGAAGTTAGCCGCCCCCTCAGCTCTGCTCAGACGCTGCCCTCAGATGGAGGCCATCCCAGCGGCAGTTAATGAAGCAACAATAGGAGGCGTCTTCCAAGGTTTCCTCTATAGCACCGACCTGCTGTCACTGTTCCGCTGCCCTGTCCCGTGTCTGGCATCCCTCCCCGCAGACTGCGTTTCAGGACGGCAGGGCCACGTCTGTCTTTTCGTCCCTGTCCCCGCCCCGCCTGACGCACAACAGGGATTCAACCCGCGTTTGGGGATGAAGGAGTGGGTCCAGGTGTGCGTGACCCTGCGCGGGTGCCTGGCGCCCCGCACAGGGTCTCTGCAGAGTCAGGGGCGGACCTGGGCTCCCCGATGCGGGCCCAGCAGGCGGGGCTCCTCTCGGTGCCCTCTCTCCGCCGCCGCGTCGGGGCCGGGCCCGCGCTCAGGAAGCGGCCGAGGCCTGACGCCTGGCTGTGCCCGCAGGGCTGGCGGCCATGCCGGACCCCGCCGCGCACCTGCCCTTCTTCTACGGCAGCATCTCGCGCGCCGAGGCGGAGGAGCACCTGAAGCTGGCGGGCATGGCGGACGGGCTGTTCCTGCTGCGCCAGTGCCTGCGCTCGCTGGGCGGCTACGTGCTGTCGCTGGTGCACGACGTGCGCTTCCACCACTTCTCCATCGAGCGCCAGCTCAACGGCACCTACGCCATCGCGGGCGGCAAGGCGCACTGCGGGCCCGCCGAGCTCTGCGAGTTCTACTCCCGGGACCCCGACGGGCTGCCCTGCGCCCTGCGCAAGCCGTGCAACCGGCCGTCCGGCCTGGAGCCGCAGCCCGGCGTCTTCGACTGCCTGCGCGACGCCATGGTGCGCGACTACGTGCGCCAGACCTGGAAGCTGGAGGTGAGCCCGCCGTTTGCAGCGGTGCCCAGGCTGGGCCCCCTGGGAGTGGCCTCCGAGGGGCCTGACCACGGGAAGGAAGGGGGAGGTGGCTCTGGACCGGGACAGGCCAGGCTTGGGCGGAGGGCAGGCCGTGGGCGCTGGTCTTTGATCCCCTGCATTAGTCAGGGTGCTCCACTACAGTGTCCGACTCCCAGCTGGAGAGGACTGGGGGCTCGGCCCTGGGCCCGGGGTTGGGAGGGACCTGACGGGGAGGTGGAGGAGATGGGCACGGGTTCCTGGCCGCGCTTTGCCGTCACTCACCAGTGCCCTTGCCCCGGCCTCAGGGCGAGGCGCTGGAGCAGGCCATCCTGAGCCAGGCGCCCCAGGTGGAGAAGCTCATCGCCACCACGGCCCACGAGCGGATGCCCTGGTACCACAGCAACCTGACCCGCGAGGAGGCGGAGCGCAAACTCTACGCCAGCTCGCAGACCGACGGCAAGTTCCTGTATGTGGGGCCGGGCTGGGCGGCTCGGTGTGGGGGGCCTTTGGGGTGTTCGGGCGGTAGCTGGGCCGCCTGGGCGGGATCCACAGTCTGCCACTTGCCAGCTGGGACGTGTGGCAAGCAGGTGGCGTCCCTCCTTCACTCGGCACACAGTGACTGAACCCCTACCTGTGCCAGGCTCCGAGGACCCGCAGTGAACAAAGCAGACCGCTCCCGTCCAGAACGAGCCAATAAAGCAGTGTGTGTCAGGAGGCGGGCGGGCGCTGTACAGGGTGGAGGCTGAGATCAGGGGCCAGGAAAGGCCTTTGCTGCCTGTGGCTTCCGAGCGAAGACCCGAGAGGTGAGCGGTGAGCCGGTGGCTCTCTGGGAGACGGGGATCTGGCAGGTGGAAATGCGAAGACAAAGACCAGGGATGCTAGTGGGCCCTCAGAGAGCCCTGGCAGCCATGCCACAGCCGAGTTACCATTACACCCCGGAGGACTGCAGCTGTGCAGCGGCCCCAGTCACCATCACCATCACCACCACCATCACCGTCACCATCACCACCATCACCACCACCATCACCGTCACCGTCACTACCACCACCATCACCACCACCACCATCACCATCACCACCACCACCACCATCACCACCACCATCACCACCATCACCACCATCACCACAACCACCATCACCATCACCATCACCACCATCACAACCACCATCACCACCATCACCGTCACCATCACCATCACCACCATCACCACCACCATCAACGCCATCACCGTCACCATCACCATCACCACCATCACCATCACCACCATCACTATCACCATCACCACCACCACCACCATCACCATCACCGTCACTACCATCATCACAACAACCATTACAACCATCACCACCACCATCACCAACACCATCACCACCACTACTGCCACCATCGCCATTACAAACATTACCATCATCACCACCACTACCAGAGAGAGAGAGAGAGAGAGAGAGAAACATCGATGTGAGAGCATTGACTGGCTGTCTCCTGCCTGCCCCCCTACTGGGGATCAAGCCCACGACCCAGGTATGTGCCCTGACCAGGAATCCAACCAGCAACCTTTTGGCCCAGGATGATGCCAAACCAACCGAGCCACTTCAGCTAGGGCCCAGCGCAGCTCTGACTTGTTCACACCTTAACCTTCCACGGAGGATGTCTGACAAGGAATGCCATTGCCCAAAGGAAACGCTGGCAGAGATTTTGCACTGACACAGGTTAGGACAGGCTCCGCGTTACCCATCTATTGGATGAGAGGCGTCTGCGGAGAACCAGGGCCCATGGCTTTCAACAGCCAGCAGATCTGCCGTGACGACAGGCGCTCTGGAGGGCACGCTGGCTTGGAGGCTCAGAGACAGAGGACCAGCTGGCCGTGGAGCGTGAGGCTGGAGGAGGGACGACCTGGTCCAGGAGAGAGACTGAGGCTGGAGCTGAGGTCAGGAGCAGTCGGAGTAGTGACATGCTGAGGGACAGCGACGGGCTCTGGGGAATGTCCAGAGGTCTGAAGCAGCTCCAGGGAGCCCGCCTGCCGGAGAGAGGCAGGGCGTGCTGCGGCAGAAACGGTGGTTCCTCAGTCCCTCACTGCTTTCTCCGCATGTGGAGAGTTAGGCTGAAGGCCAAAGCTGGGGCACAGACCCTCAACAGGCTGGAGGTCTCGAGGCCTGGCTCGTGCCCGGAACTGGTCTGGGCCTGAGGTCAGGGTGCAGGGTGTGACGGACAGATGCATCCACGCAGGCCACCCCGCACTGACCACAGAGATGGGAAATGGTCCCCAGTGCTGTTTGCTGCCGGCTGCCTTTCTGCGTAACTGCAGCATCTGTGGTTGTTTGATTCACTGTGAAAGCAAGCCAGACCCTGAGAAGGGCCGTCAGTGTACACTGTTAATGGTTCTCCCCTCCTCGGATGTCCCCCTCGGGAGTCTGACTGAAGCCGGACCCTGCCATGCGTGCCCACAGTGTGGCCAGTTGTGTGAGGTGTGTGTGGGTAGACGTGCTCTCATGCACACAGGCACCATCTTTGAGGGGCTCAAAATATCTTCTTTGGCAAATTTTCAGCAGAAGACAATCAAGGATCTCATTCTGCCACAGGTCGGTCTGTTACAGCAACGGGCGGTCTATGGTGGTGACAGAGACTCGCTCTGGTCTCGCGGGGTGTCCCATGACCTCGCCACAGGGCTGTGCGTCCCTTTGTCTCGACGTGTGGACGGGACTTTCCCAGAGAATGGTCCTAAGTCCACCCGTGTAGGCGTGTGTCCCCTGTGAGTGGCTCTGTGTCCACCATAGATGGCCAGGAGCCTTCCACGCTGGGCAAGAGTCCTCTGTGGCTGGGCGAGTGTGCCCTGCGGGAGGCTGGGTGTGCCCTGCGGGGGCTGGGTGTGCCCTGCGGGAGGCTGGGTGAGTGTGCCCTGCGGGAGGGTGAGTGTGCCCTGCGGGAGGGTGAGTGTGCCCTGCGGGAGGCTGGGTGAGTGTGCCCTGCGGGAGGCTGGGTGTGCCCTGCGGGGGCTGGGTGTGCCCTGCGGGAGGCTGGGTGAGTGTGCCCTGCGGGAGGCTGGGTGGGTGTGCCCTGCGGGAGGCTGGGTGGGTGTGCCCTGCGGGAGGCTGGGTGTGCCCTGCGGGAGGCTGGGTGAGTGTGCCCTGCGGGAGGCTGGGTGGGTGTGCCCTGCGGGAGGCTGGGTGAGTGTGCCCTGCGGGAGGCTGGGTGTGCCCTGCGGGAGGCTGGGTGTGCCCTGCGGGAGGCTGGGTGAGTGTGCCCTGCGGGAGGCTGGGTGGGTGTGCCCTGCGGGAGGCTGGGTGAGTGTGCCCTGCGGGAGGGTGGGTGTGCCCCGCGGGAGGCTGGGTGAGTGTGCCCTGCGGGAGGCTGGGTGTGCCCTGAGGGAGGGTGAGTGTGCCCTGCGGAGGCTGGGTGAGTGTGCCCTGCGGGAGGGTGAGTGTGCCCTGCGGGAGGCTGTGTGTGCCCTGTGGGAGGCTGGGTGTGCCCTCGGGGGTTGGGTGTGCCCTGCGGGAGGCTGGGTGTGCCCTGCGGAGGCTGGGTGTGCCCTGCGGGAGGCTGGGTGTGCCCTCGGGGGTTGGGTGTGCCCTGCGGGAGGCTGGGTGAGTGTGCCCTGCGGAGGCTGGGTGAGTGTGCCCTGCGGGAGGGTGAGTGTGCCCTGCGGGAGGCTGGGTGTGCCCTGTGGGAGGCTGGGTGTGCCCTCGGGGGTTGGGTGTGCCCTGCGGGGGCTGGGTGTGCCCTGCGGAGGCTGGGTGTGCCCTGTGGGAGGGTGAGTGTGCCCCGCGGGAGGCTGGGTGAGTGTGCCCTGCGGGAGGGTGAGTGTGCCCTGCGGGAGGCTGGGTGAGTGTGCCCTGCGGGAGGGTGAGTGTGCCCTGCGGGAGGGTGAGTGTGCCCTGCGGGAGGGTGAGTGTGCCCTGCGGGAGGCTGGGCGAGTGTGCCCTGCGGAGGCTGGGTGTGCCCTGCGGAGGCTGGGTGTGCCCTGAGGGAGGGTGAGTGTGCCCTGCGGAGGCTGGGTGTGCCCTGAGGGAGGGTGAGTGTGCCCTGCGGAGGCTGGGTGTGCCCTCGGGGGTTGGGTGTGCCCTGCGGGAGGCTGGGTGAGTGTGCCCTGCGGGAGGCTGGGTGAGTGTGCCCTGCGGGAGGCTGGGTGGGTGTGCCCTGCGGAGGCTGAGTGTGCCCTGCGGGAGGCTGTGTGTGCCCTGTGGGAGGCTGGGTGTGCCCTCGGGGGCTGGGTGTGCCCTGCGGAGGCTGAGGGTCAGCCGTGCAGGGCTGAGTGGAGGCCCAGCGTCCTGCGGGATCGGCCCACCTCTGCCCTGGGAGGGCGGGCCTCTCTGACCAGTCCTGGCCCCCGGTCCCTGCTGCTCCTCCGCAGGCCCTGGGGCGCCGAGCGGGAGGGTGTGGGGGCCCGCGACGGGCCAGGCGGGTGTAGGGTGACCGCCCCCGCTCCCCCCAGGCTGAGGCCCCGGAAGGAGCAGGGCACGTTCGCCCTGTCCATGGTCTACGGGAAGACCGTGTACCACTACCTCATCAGCCAGGACAAGGCCGGCAAGTACTGCATCCCCGAGGGCACCAAGTTCGACACGCTGTGGCAGGTGAGTGCCCGCGGGGGGCACGGGGCGCCCGGCTCTGGAGGAGGGCCCCCTGACGTCCGCCGGTGTGAGGGCACGGGGCGCCCTGCTCCGGAGCGGGGCCCGCTGACGCCCGCCGGTGTGAGGGACACGGGGCGCCAGCCTCCGGAGAAAGGGCCCCCTGACGCCCGCCTGGGGTGAGGGGCCACGGGGCGCCCTGCTCCGGAGCGGGGCCCGCTGACGCCCGCCTGGGGTGAGGGGCCACGGGGCGCCAGGCTCCGGAGGAAGGCCCGCTGACACCTGCCCCCGCAGCTGGTGGAGTACCTGAAGCTGAAGGCCGATGGGCTCATCTACTGCCTGAAGGAGGCCTGCCCCAACGCCAGCGCCAGCGCCAGCGCAGGTGCGCGGGGCCGCGGGGGGGGGGGGGGGGGGCAACGGGAGACGCTACCCTCAGCCCCTCACCACCCTCTCTGTCCCCTCAGGGGCCGCAGCTCCCACCCTCCCTGCCCACCCGTCCACGTTCTCCCAGGTGAGTCAGCCGCACCTCAGAGTTGGGGTCTCCGGGGTGGAGCTGGTACGGGGGCTCTGGGTCCTGTTCCCAGGGAGAGAAGGTCCCCCATTGCTGACCCTGGGAGTCCTCAGAGGATATGGGTCCCCTGAGCGGGGCTGGTGCCCTCAGCGTGGGTCCTACTAACCCCTGTGGCCCTGACCTTTAGCCTCAGAGACGGATCGACACCCTCAACTCGGACGGATACACGCCTGAACCAGGTGAGCTCCGGAGCGGGGTGTGGCGGTGGTGCCGGCGGGGGCGGTCCCGGCGGGCTCGGGGTGTGCCAGGGAGCTGTGCCCGGCCTGCCGGGTGGGCCCTGTGCACACACTGTGCTGTCTGCATGGGCACGCCATCACCCCACCTGCATGCACATGGGTGTGTGCAGACATGCAGGGAGAACCGTGGCCGCGCCTGGATGCCCAGGGCACAGACACACATTGTGAAGTACCTGCTGTGTGCCAGTTCCACTCGGAGCTCACTGTGCACTGGCCCACTGGGTCCTCCTGGCACACCGAGGAAGGCGCCACAGTCATTCCCACTTACAGCCGAGGCAGGCGGGAGTGGCGCTCCCAGCCACACGGGAGGCAGCGGGGGGAGACTGGACAGGCCGACAGGCTCCAGAGGCCACGCTCCTCACATGCCCGCTGCCCATGCTCGTGTGCTATACGTGTGGATGCAGTCTCCCCACGTATGTGCCCAGAGAACATACGTGGTTGTGTGTGCACACAGGCTCATCTGTGGAGCTCTTGTAAACATGGCTGCCTGGTTCCTACAGAGACATGGGCGGGCATGGACGTAGGTGCATACATGTCAGTGTACACACAGGCACAGGTGTGCACATTCCAGCTGGCATACTACAGCTACTCACACAGACATGGGTGGGAGTGTACATGGGTGCATAAGTGTGAACACACAGGGCACACATGCTTATATGTGCACAGAGATGCACAAGCCTTTGGGGTCCAGTTGGACGTGACTTCCCAGTGCACCCACCAATGGGATCAGGAGTGCACACGTGTGTACACACACACACACACACACACACACGGACCCACGTGACTGTACATGCTCTAGGTGGCACGCCCCTGCCCACGTACATGCCTTGTGGGCGCTGAGGCTCCCTGCCCTCTCCCTCCTCCTGACGGGGTGCACGCCTGTGTGTGCCCAGCTCGCCTGGCGTCCCCCGAGAGGCCGCGGCCCCTGCCCATGGACACGAGCGTGTACGAGAGCCCGTACAGCGACCCCGAGGAGCTCAAGGACAAGAAGCTGTTCCTGAAGCGCGACCACCTGCTGGTGGCGGACATCGAGCTGGGCTGCGGCAACTTCGGCTCCGTGCGCCAGGGCGTCTACCGCATGCGCAAGTACGGCCGGCGCGGGCCCCGCCTGCGGAGGGGGGGGAGACCCCTGCCTGCAGGGCGGAGGAGGCACCCCTGCCTGCGGGGGGCACCCCTGCCTGCGGGGGGCATCCCTGCCTGCGGGGGGGGGCATCCCTGCCTGCGGGGGGCATCCCTGCCTGCGGGGGGGGCATCCCTGCCTGCGGGGGGGGGGCATCCCTGCCTGCGGGGGGCATCCCTGCCTGCGGGGGGGGGCATCCCTGCCTGCGGGGGGGCATCCCTGCCTGCGGGGGGGGCATCCCTGCCTGCGGGGGGGGGCATCCCTGCCTGCGGGGGGGGCATCCCTGCCTGCGGGGGGCATCCCTGCCTGCGGGGGGGGCATCCCTGCCTGCGGGGGGGGCATCCCTGCCTGCGGGGGGGGCATCCCTGCCTGCGGGGGGGGGGCATTCCCTGCCTGCGGGGGGGGGCATTCCCTGCCTGCGGGGGGGGCATCCCTGCCTGCGGGGGGGGGCATTCCCTGCCTGCGGGGGGGGCATCCCTGCCTGCGGGGGGGGCATCCCTGCCTGCGGGGGGCATCCCTGCCTGCGGGGGGGGGCATCCCTGCCTGCGGGGGGGGCATCCCTGCCTGCGGGGGGGCATCCTCTGCCTGGAAAACGGACCTGGGAGAGGACATTGCCCTCGGGGCTGGCACCGAGGGGTGAGAAGCAGCGTGGGCAGGGGAGGGGGGCGGGGCTGCAGTCGCTGATCCCAGGGGAGCTGTAGGGGGGCCCCCTGAGCCCCTGCGCCCACCCGTTGGACCCAGGCTGCCCAGGGGAGAGGTGCCTTTGAATGAACTGCTCTCCGCAGAGGGGCAGGTCCGGGGAGGACCTGGCCGTGCCCCCCCCTCACCCTCCGCACTCCCAGCAGCCGGGCTGAGCTGGGAGGGAGGGAGCGTGGGTGGCACCGCGGCGTCCTGCACCAGCCCGGGAGGCGGCGGCAGGTGGGGCACGAGGGCCGAGCAGGCGAGCTGACTGTGCGCCTCGGCCGGCAGGAAGCAGATCGACGTGGCCATCAAGGTGCTGAAGCACGGCACGGAGAAGGCGGACCGGGACGAGATGATGCGGGAGGCGCAGATCATGCACCAGCTGGACAACCCCTACATCGTGCGGCTCATCGGCGTGTGCCAGGCCGAGGCCCTGATGCTCATCATGGAGATGGCGGGCGGCGGGCCGCTGCACAAGTTCCTCCTCGGGAAGAGGTGAGCGGCGCGGGCGCGGCCGGGGCATCCTGTCCCTCATGGGTGTGCCCCACTGTGAGGACACACTCACTGTTGCCACGCTTTTACTTAGGATTTTAGAGGGAGAGCAGAAGGGGGAGAGGGGGGGAGAGGGGGAGAGAGATCAGTTGTCCCACTTTTTCATGCATTCATTGGCAGACTCTTGTATGTATCCTGACCGGGGATCGAACCTGCAACCTTGGATGATGCTCTAACCAACTGAGCTACCCGGCCAGGGCTCATACTCATTCTGTATGTTCATAGACACACTCACACCCAACAGGCAGCACACCCTGACACCCACACTCACACTCAACGCACAGCACAGCCTGACATGCACTCATGCCTGCCCTCCCCACACACACCCTCACACGCACACTCATGCCTGCCCCCGCACACCCTGACACGCACACTCATGCCTGCCCCCGCACACCCTGACACGCACACTCATGCCTGCCCCCGCACACCCTCACACGCACACTCATGCCCACAGGGCAGAGCCTGACCTCCCTGTGGAGTCTCAGCTCTGCCTCTGACTGCTGTGACCCTGAGCAGGCTCCTAACTGGTCTGGGCCTCAGTTTCCTCATCTGTACCCCAGTGCTGTCACAGTACTTCCTCCAGCGCCCTGTGAGGCTCAGACGAGTGGGTATCGATGGCGTGCTGAGCCCAGGCTGGCACTGCGTGTGAGGGCTGAGTCCCACCCCGAGGCCCTCACCGCTGCCCCTCCGTCCTCCTGGCCAGCTCCTGGCCCACAGGTGGCTGTCTGACCGACGGGGCTCAGCGCACTGCAGCCCGGCTGGCTTTGGCCCTGCGTGGCTCTGCACGTGGGAAGGGCTGTAACAGAGAGGCAAACGCAGGGACACAGGGCAGAGGCCACATGCTGAGGCCAGACTATTCCTATCAACCTGGCCGTTTACAGAAAAGAGTTTGCTGTGCAGTCTCATTTGTGTTCCCTCGGCCTCCGCTCTTTCTGTCACAACCGATCACACTAACCTGGCAGTGCCCCCGCACGCTCGCTGGCAGCACGCCCTGGCCCTCGCCCTCGCCCTCGCCCTCGCCCTCGCCGGGCCCAGCTCATGCCCATCCCTGCCGGTGTTCGGGCAGTTTCTCTGTGACGGGACTATTACAGCCCTTGGGATTGATTCATCAGTGGACAAAAGGGGAAAGACCGTTGCCTGCATTCTGTTGGAGAAGAGGCTTTAAATAAGTACACAATGAAGTGCTGGGTGTGCCGGGAGATAAGTACAATGGCAAAGGCTCGGAGTGTCAGGCGGGAGGGGGGGAGTGAGAGGCGAGGGTGTGCAGACAGGGAGGCAGCTGGGCACAGCTGGGGGGTGTTTTAGGCAGAGGGCGGGCACAGCCAGTGCAAAGGCCCTGAGGTCACCCAGCCGGTGCCGGGGAGGCACGGTGAGGGGGCCGGTGGCTGGAAGGGTGGGGGAGAAGGGGAGAGGGGAGGGGTCGTGTTTTGCAGAGCCCCGTGGCTGCGGTAGGACTTGAACTTTGACCCTGAGTGAGATGGGCACCCTGTGTGGCTGTGAGCGGAGGGGGACTGACTCTTGTGTGGGGAAGACCCAGGAGGGCGAGGGCGGAGAGACTGCTCAGGCCGGTGAGGGTGACGGAGGCTGGGCCAGGGGAAGCCGCGGAGGAGCAGGAGGCACTGGAGGGGCCTGAGGGCAGAGCTGAGGCTGATGTAGGGCTGGGAAAGGGCAGCTGAGGCAGGAGCTGCTGGGGGAGGGGAGGGAGGGGCCGCTGTGTGTGAGTGTGTGTGTGTGAGTGTGTGTGTATGTGTGTGTGAGAGAGAGTGTGAGTGTGTGTGTGTGTGTGTGTGTGTGAGAGTGTGAGTGTGTGTGAGTGTGTGTGTGTGTGTGAGTGTGTGAGTGTGTGTGTGCGCATGTGTGTATGAGTGTGTGTGTGTGTGTGAGTGTGTGTGTGTGTGTGAGAGTGTGTGAGTGTGAGAGTGTGTGTGTGCGCGCGCGTGTGTGTGTGAGTGTGAGTGTGTGTGTGCGTGTGTGTGTGAGTGTGTGTGAGAGTGTGTGTGTGAGAGTGTGTGTGAGTGTGAGTGTGTGTGTGAGAGTTTGTGTGTGTGTGTGAGTGTGTGTGTGAGTGTGAGTGTGTGAGTGTGTGTGTGTGTGTGCGTGTGTGTGTGAGTGTGTGTGTGTGAGTGTGAGTGTGTGTGAGAGTGTGTGTGTGTGAGAGTGTGTGTGTGTGAGTGTGTGTGTGAGAGTTTGTGTGTGTGTGTGAGTGTGTGTGTGAGTGTGTGTATGTGTGTGTGTGAGTGTGTGTGAGTGTGTGAGTGTGTGTGTGTGTGTGAGTGTGAGTGTGTGTGTGAGAGTGTGTGTGTGTGTGTGTGTGTGAGTGTGTGAGTGTGAGTGTGAGTGTGTGAGTGTGAGTGTGAGTGTGAGTGTGAGAGTGTGTGTGTGTGAGTGTGTGTGTGAGTGTGAGTGTGTGTGTGAGAGTGTGTGTGTGTGTGAGTGTGTGTGTGAGTGTGAGTGTGCGCGCGTACGCCCTGGGCTTGGCTCTGTCCTTAAACTCCCTGAGATGTCCTGGCCTGAGGGACGGTGGAGGATGCAGACGAAGGGTCCGTGGGATCTGGCGCGGGTGCAGCGTGCGGCCTGGGCCTGCGGGAGGCGGGCGCCGCTGCTGCTCAGGCCGTGGCCCAGGCCGTGTGCCTGGCACAGCAGGGCCCCTGGGCAGAGGCGGGCGTGGCCCCTGGGCTTGGGCTGCACCTGCCGACCCCCCCCCCCCTCCCCGCAGGGAGGAGATCCCGGTGAGCAACGTGGCGGAGCTGCTGCACCAGGTGTCCATGGGGATGAGGTACCTGGAGGAGAAGAACTTCGTGCACCGCGACCTGGCGGCGCGCAACGTGCTGCTGGTGAACCGGCACTACGCCAAGATCAGCGACTTCGGGCTGTCCAAGGCGCTGGGCGCCGACGACAGCTACTACACCGTGAGCGGCGGTCCCCGGGGGCGGGTCCCCGGGGGAGGTCCCCAGGGGGCGGGTCTCCACGGGGGCGGGTCCCCACGGGGGCGGGTCTCCACAGGGGCGGGTCTCCACGGGGGGCGGGGTCTCCACCGGGGGCGGTCCCCAGGGGGCGGGTCCCCACGGGGGGCGGGTCTCCACGGGGGCGGGTCTCCACGGGGGCGGGTCTCCACGGGGGGCGGGGTCCCCATGTGGGGGGGGCGGGTCCCCACTCCGGCCCCAGCAGCGTGCCCCCCCAGGCCCGCTCGGCGGGGAAGTGGCCCCTGAAATGGTACGCGCCCGAGTGCATCAACTTCCGCAAGTTCTCCAGCCGCAGCGACGTGTGGAGCTACGGGGTCACCATGTGGGAGGCCTTCTCCTACGGCCAGAAGCCCTACAAGGCAGGCGGGCTGCGGGCGGCCGGGTGGGAGGGGGAGGGGCGGCTGGTGGGAGGGGGAGGGGGTGGCTGGCTGGGAGGGGGAGGGGCGGCCGGGTGGGAAGGGAGAGGGGCGGGCTGGGTGGGAGGGGGAGGGGCGGCCGGTGGGAGGGGGAGGGGGGCTGGCTGGGAGGGGGAGGGGCGGCCGGGTGGGAAGGGGGGAGGGGCGGCCGGGTGGGGGGGGAGGGGCGGCCGGGTGGGGAGGGGGAGGGGCGGGCTGGGCGGGAGGGGGAGGGGCGGGCCGGGTGGGAAGGGGGAGGGGCGGGCTGGGCGGGAGGGGGAGGGGCGGGCCGGGCGGGAGGGGGAGGGGCGGGCCGGGTGGGAAGGGAGGGGCGGCCGGGTGCCAGGCCTCCGGGAGGGCCCGGCCTCACGGTGCCCGGGCTCTTGAGCAGAAGATGAAGGGGCCGGAGGTGATGGCCTTCATCGAGCAGGGCAAGCGCATGGAGTGCCCGCCCGACTGTCCGCCCGAAATGTACGCGCTGATGAGCGACTGCTGGACCTACAAGTGAGTGCGGCGGGGCCTGGGGTGTGTCCACCGAAGCTGCCCCTCACGCAGGTGCTCCCCTGCGCAGCCCTCCCGCCCCCTTCACTGCCCCCGCCGATCGGCCCCCAGCCCCCAGCCCGTCAGCACGCTGGTCCCGGGCGCAGACACGGCCCACTGTGTTACCCACTGCAGTCCGCGCTCAGCCCGGGCGACATCCTAACATCTGAGCCCCCCAGCCAGACGGCACCCCTGGAGTGTATATCTGCTCCCCCTCTGTCTGGCCCAAGCTTAACCGTGAAAGCCCAGCTCCGAATTCCGTCAACATCCCCATGTCCATCAGACAGCAGGCAGCACGAACCACACAGTCTCCTTACACTGACCATGCAGCGCGTGCACAGCCCAGCCCCCACCCCAGTGCTCCGCTGGCCAGTACCGGTGCCTCGGACAGGCCCATAAACAGACCCCTCTGTGATACATAAACAGCAAGCCTTTCCTACCTAACAGGTTCACCCGCCTCCACTGGAAACACCGACACCCCCACCCCCCAGAGCCTGGTACCCACACATCCCACAGCCCGGCACTCACAGCCACCGCTCAGCTCCTCAGCCTCTGTCCCCGCACGGGCGCACACCGCACCCATACGCCCGCACCCTGCCCCTGTGCCCGGCCGGGCAGTCACATGCTCAGTACGCAGCATTCCGCCCGCCGGACGCCCAGTGCATTCAGTTAATGCGCCTTTGCCAGTTAGCACCCAGCGTCCCGTGTGTCTGCAGCCCTCCCATCGGCCAACCCCAAGTTCCTGTCTCACACCTCCAAGACCCTTCCTTACCCCGTACTTGACCACCTCGGCGCCCCGGGGGTCCTGAGCCCCTGCCTGCCCACCCAGCCGGACCTGGGTCCTGGCTGGCGGTCAGTGGCCTGGTCTGCCCCCCCCCCCCACAGGTGGGAGGACCGCCCGGACTTCCTGACTGTGGAGCAGCGCATGCGGACCTACTACTACAGCTTGGCGAGCAAGCCCGAGGGCCCCCCGGAGGGAGGGCAGGGGGCCAAGCCCGCCAGTGCCTGAGCGCCCCCTGCCCAGCCGGCCCGTGCCCCAGCCCAGCCCGGGCCGTGTGGCTGGGCCGGGCCCGTCCCCCGCAGCGGGGCTGTGAGCGGGAAGCCGAGGCCCAGGCCTCACGGTTAGGCACGTCCTCCCTGGGCACCGTCCTTTCTGGTGGGGAGGGGGACGCCCGGGGGCGGGGGGTAGCCTGGCCCTGGGCTGGCATGTACCGGGGCCCTGAGCTGAGGGGCGCTTACAACCAGGACCCTCCTTCCCCCCCGAAGGGAAGACTCTGGATCTTCAGGTGCAAGACCTCAGCCACCGGAATAAACAGCTTCTCTCTGTGGGAGATTCCTCTTCTTTTTGGGGGCGGGGGGCGCTGGCTGACCCACTTACCCACGGGCCATTGGAGAAGCCAGGCAGGTACTGTGGGCCGTGGGCGCGGCCTCAGCTTCCCGCCTTAGTGACTGCCCCTGGAGGGGCCTGGCCGCTGCTGACCCCCTCCCCACGCCCTGGCGCCTGCTCCGCCTCCAGCCCCTCCTGGGCGGTCACAGACGGAGTGTCCAGCACCCGGTGCCCCGGTGCCAGCTCAGTCCCGCTCAGCACGCCTGTCCCTAAGCTCCGTGGCCTCAGTTTCCCCACGTGGAAAGCTGGGACGTTGGATCGCAGAACCCAGCAGGTGGGGTGAATGAAGCCAAACAGCTCCCCATCCTGTCCCGTGATGGGCCGCCCCGTCCCCGGGCAATGCCTCTTGCCTCCGCCCCCAGAGCGATGGGCCCAGGGGCCCAGGACCCGCTCAGAGCCCGGGGCAGGCACCGCTCCGTGGCTTCTGGGAAGGCGGCTGTTCACCCTGTGGCGTCGGGGCGGCCTGTGGCTGTCTGTGCCGTTATGGGGGAGACTGGGGCTCCAGCTGCTGTGCAGAGGGGGAGCGGGAGGCCCGATGGGTGGCACCTGGGAGCAGAACCCCTGGCCTCCGTGACCTGTGAGTATGTGATCCAGTGTGGCTGGGCCAGGAAATGGACGCTGAGAGGATTAACAGGTGCAGACCTTGTTGTGATGTCACCATTTACTGTTGAGTTTTAATACTTGATATCGACGCTTCATATGAGCATATTGAACGAACGTTGTAGACTACATGGAAGTGAATTCAGAGGCCCCCAGCGATCCCGCCCGCTGACTCTCGGAGGCCCAGCTGTGCTGCGTTCGGAGCTGTCGGTGAAGGTGTGGGCTTTTCTGAGGACCTCCCAGCCCTGCATCTAGAGTGAGAACAGACCAGGAGAGCTCAGGGACCCTAAAGTTAAAGACACAAACTGGAATCACTCCCATGTTTGTCACTCTCTGTGACCACTTGGAGACTTTGTGTTTAAAATGTGAACGCGTGAGGCCTGGCGAACCATGAGATAGATTAGCTGTAGCTGGAAAAAGCGTATCAGGTCATACAGGAACCATATTCCTGAATGTGAATAACACCATTCAAATGCAAACATTGCTTTTAAACTAATGAGCAAGTCAAGAAAAAAGTCACATCAATGGTACAATTTTGTGGCTTCCCAAATTCCGTTTGCAGGTATCTCAGTTTTATTAAATTCACTCGTTAGTTATGGGATAGTTCACATTGCTACATAAAGCATATCATAAAGGGAAACAATGTTCACGGTCTGCACTTATTTCGTAGTCATTAATTTTATTTTATTATTATTGCTGAACATTGCTTTATAGGAAGGCGGTGTTAAGGTGTCCCGCCCTGGGTGTCCCATTCTCCGCGGACGCTGTGTGCGTCACCAGTAACTGCTTGTTGAGCCAGTGAAAGAGGGTGCGGTTTCACGCAGCTGCCACCAGGTGCCGCTGTTCCCGCAGGGCTCCTGCCCCGGCCCTGCGTCTGGGTCTCCGGTGGGGCGCGACCCCAGGCTCCTCCCTGCTCTCCAGGTGCCCCCACTGCGCGCCGCCCGGCCTCCTGCAGTCCATTCACCCCAAAACGCTTTTCTTCCAGGGCTCCCCAATCATATCCCCCGCCCCCGCCGCAGCGGCTTTCCCCAGAGGGTCTTAACGGGAACTGAGTGACATTCCGGCTCCGGCACCTCGGGAAAGGCCCATTATCTCAGGCCGTGCACAGCCATTGTGGGGCTGGGGTGCAGCGCGGTGGGCCGGGGGAGTGGGGGGGGGGTGAGGGGTCGGCTGTGTGGCTCTCGGGCACTGTTTCCGGCTCTGGCTGCGGAGGAGGTGGGCAGGCTGCGGTCTGACTGTGTGGGAGGCGGTTGTACAGATCGGGGGTCTGTGTGTGGCAGAGCCTGTGGGGCTCCTTCAAGCGGGGGCGCGAGTCCGCAGGCCGGGCTGCTGAGGTCCGAGGCTGGCTGTGGGGCCGGCTGGGCTGCGCAGGGCCCTGCTGTTCCAGGCTTGGGGTGGGGGTGGAGCTGCTGAGGGTGATGCCGTGTCTGCAGCAGGTGATGAGCGCCCGCAGACCTCGGCCTTTGTCTGCTGGACCCTGGGCGCTGTGTGGCGTGTCTCCTCTTTCGAAAACCTTTGCGAGCTTACCCAACCCAAAAGGAGTTGACTTTAGAGGGAATGAGTTCCCCATCACTCAAAGGGATCAGAGTCCAGGAATAAGTCCATATATCTACGGATGCTAAGTCCATTTACTGGGGGGAGGAATACTCTTTTCCACAATTGGTGCTGGGACAACTGGATTTCCACATGCAAAGAATGAAGTCAGACTAGTAACTCACACAATATTAAAAAATTAATGGAAAATGGATCAAAGACGTAAATCGAAGAGCTCAAACCATAAAAATCTTAGGAGAAAACAAGAAGGTAAAATCTTCATGACCTTGGATTTGGCAATAGATTCTTAGATATGACATTAAAATCACAAGCAACAAAAAGAAAAATAGATCAGAGAACTCAGAAACTGACCGTAGCCATTATGTGCTGGGGTCTTTTTTAGCATCTGCTAGGGTTCAAGAAATCTGGAAAGTGGGCTGTGCATAAAATAATAAAGGGACTAGAGGAGAAATATGAATTTGGAAGGCATTTGGGGGAGCCAGATGAGGCTTAATTCTAGTAACTAAGTTCCCTGAATCTCTGGTCCCAAGGCTTTTTATTCCCACATTTTTCCCTATAGCAAAGCAGATATGCATATCAAAGGTAAGGTTTGGTAAACAACAAAGGTTATCAACCTGTGGGAACTGCCCTCAGCTGTCTGTCAGCAGGCAATAACATGCAGATCTTCAGCCCTGCTGAGACCCCAAGGTTCATCAACCTTTTGATGAACTCCTTGCATTTATGACCTGCTGGAATTAGCCTCCAGCAATTATGCTCAATTAATTTTTGACAAAGGAGGCAAGATCATGCGAAGGAGTCAAGACAGTCTCTTCAATAAATTGTGCTGGGATACATGCAAAAAAATGAAATAGATCACAACTTACACCATCCATAAAAACAAACTCAAAATGGTTAAAGGACTTAAACATAAGTCGAAAAACCATAAAAATCTTAGAATATTCCATAGGCAGCAAAATATCAGACATATGTTGTAGCAATATCTTTACCGATACAACTCTTAGGGCAATAAAGACAAAGGAGAAAATAAACAAATGGGACTACATCAAAATAAAAAGCTTCTGCAAAAGAAACCATCAACAAAACAACAAGAAAGCCCACTGCATGGGAGGACATATTTGCCAATGTTATCACCGATAAAGGTTTAGTCTTCAACATTTACAGAGAATTCATACAACTTGACAAAAGGAAAATAATCCAATAAAAAAAAATGGGCAAAGAACCTAAATAGATACTTTTCGAAAGAGGACATACAGAAGGCTGAGCAACATATAAAAACATGCTCAAAGTCACTAATCATCTGAGAGATGCAAATCAAAACAACAAGGAGATGCCATCTCACACCTGTCAGAATGGCTATCAACAAATCAACAAGTGACAAGTGCTGGTAAGAATGTGGAGAAAAAGGAACCCTCCTTCACTGCTGGTGGGAATGCAGACTGGTGCAGCCACTGCAGAGAACAGTATGGAGTTTCCTCAAAAATTTAAAAATGGAACTGCTGTTTGACCCAGGAATCCCACTTCTAGAAATATATCTCAAGAAACCAGAAACACCAATCAGAAAGGATATATGCACCCCTGTGTTCACAGCAGAGCAATTTACAATAGCTAAGATTTAGGAACAGCCTAAGTGGCCTTTAGCAGGTGAGTAAATTAAAAAACTGTGGTATATCTACACAATGGAATACTTTGCTGCTATAAAAAAGAAGAAAATTTTACCATTTGCAGCAGCATGGAATACTATGCAGCAGTAAAAAAGAAGTATCTCGATCTATCATCCAGGACCCTGGGAGGGAGGGACTGGGTGGTTGATAGTCAGCAATTAACGTGGTTGTGGGAGCAGTGAGGCACCGATGGGGCCCCTGGAATGTGACCAGCTGGAGAAATGGAAGAATGGCAGGCCCGGAGCGGCCGAGCAGCAGCAGCCAGGCCCGGAGCGGCCAGGCCCAGAGCAGCCAGGCCGGGAGCAGCAGCAGCCAGGCCAGGAGCGGCCAGGCCTGGAGCAGCAGCAGCCAGGCCCGGAGCAGCAGCAGCCAGGCCTGGAGCAGCAGCAGCCAGGCTGGGAACAGCCAAGCCCGGAGTGTTGTGGGGTCGAACCCTGGGTTCAAAATGAAAGGCAAGAAGGAGCAATGCAGCCAATTTGGGTACCAGAGTGTTAGGTCCGTCATCACAATGGACTCAGAGAAGCTCCAAAAGGCCTGAGAGTTGCCCAGACGACAGCAAAGTGGCAGAAGAAAACTGAAGGCTACGCAAGGGACTGAGGTGCCAACATGGAGTCATCTGAAGAAATTAAAGGCTGAAGTGGAAGCTACTTCTTTAATCATGTTTAGCTTCCAGTCTTCTGCAGTCTTGTGCAGCAAGTCCAAGGACTCTGAGTAAATCTACACCAGCAACAAAAGAGACTCATTCAGTAGCTAAAAATATTAATATGTCCATAATTCTGATTTCTCATTTTGTTGTATTGCATTGAC